TACATTACATAATAACCTACATTTGATTTGATATTTAACAACTCTTTCAGAGTTTATGCTTACCACGCAGCTCTTTAAATTAAGCTGTCGCAAATTATCTTCATGATTGAAGTGCTGTTAAGTAATATTAAGTTAGTGCTCCTTTGTACCACAGTGAAAGTCGTGGAGAGAATTTTTGACCTTGGGTGAAAAAGATGCAGAAGCTGCTGGATCCACAGGATGGACATCATGGCTGAGGTGTTTGACATGCAATGACTGAAAACCTCCAGCAAGCTTACAGAACACCACAGCTTTATAACTTTAATCCCAGATTCCTTTTTTCATTGAATTGTGAGTGCTCCTCGGATGATTAGCGAAACGTCTTCAGTTTTAAAAAAAGTCCTGTGGTTTTGTTTTTATATTTTTTGGGGGGGATTTGCCGTGTCAAGGATAACTGAGAATCTTCACCAGCATTGTTACAGGTAAAAAAACAATTACTTCACTTATCCTACACTATTGACGTAAAAAAACACTGTAAGCACTTCACTTTTGATGATCAGATGGAAGCTCAAGACTTGAAAATGTTTCTTTTATTAGAAATAAAGACCTGTACAAAAAAAAACAATTATACACTAATTATATATGCAAACTTAACAAGCTACGTTTGGCTATTTGTGGGCTTACCTTGCAGGATCTACATTTCTATAGATAACTATGATCTACTCTAAATATTTTTAAACATGTCTGTTTGCCATGGAACGGGCAATGGATTCCAGCACCCCAAGGAGTGCCTGACTGAAAGCAGCACTCTGTTCAGCCTCCTGCCTTCGCTGTGCTGCTTCCTCTCTGCGAACATCTGCTTCCTCTCTCCTCAAGGCCATCTCCTCCCTCCTAATTGCCTTCTCCTGCTTCCTCGCTGCTGCAGCTTGGCGTTGCCTCTCCGCAGCTTCTTCTTGCCTTGCTTTTTTGACATCCTCACAAATAAAATGGAAGTGTTCCTCTCTCTGCTTCCGGTTCATCTCCTCTTGTTCTGTATGTGCAGAAACAAAGCTCTCTGCTGCACTTGTTGATCTGCGCTTTCTATTGCCTAGGAATAACACACAAGAAAATGGCTGTTAGATGATGAAGTACAGGTAGAGTTTTTAAGTTACTGCTAATTTTGAGTTCCTGCTAATTTCAAAAGGTGTTTGTTTACAAGATCAGAAATGATTCTGTTCATAAAGCAGTCTAGTACTTTAATGATAGTAAGCAGGTGGGCATAAATAAACTACATGTAGTCATTTACAACCGTTTGTGCTAATTTAGAAAAAGAACAGAGCATCGTTAATCTGAACAAAAATCACTACACCCTGTATAATTTCAATAATAAACTTCATAAATGAAAGTTTAAGTAATAAATGAATAACTAAATTTAACATTTATCCATTACAACTGAATAAACAAGTAGTTTGAATACATGCAAGGTGTTTTACAACAAAAACAAAACAACATTCATATCGACATGATCAATGTGATGTTAAACACGATTGTTGCTTCTTACCTACTAACGGGTGCTGTTCGGTGCCGCTCTGCTGCGTGTTGCCCGGTGGCGTGCATGTGCCCGGTGGCGTGCATGTACTCGGAGCTGGTGTGGTCGGGAAGGGTCAGAAGCGGGGAGGACTGGACAGTCAAAAGCAGAATCTGGCGAACCTTCATGTTCAGTGGGACTTTCTGCATCAAAATAAGAGTGGAAAAACAGCAACAGAGTACAGTTAGCAATGATGCTAACTAATGACGACGTAACCGCGTCAGCCTCGTTTGTTCAGAGTACTTTCAGAAAACGCAAAGAAACGGTTGCATGAGGAAAAGGAAATATGCTTAAAGTAAATAAAATACACTCACCATCAACTATTAGTTTTTTAAGCTTTCCTCTTTGCTTTGGTGTGCGATGGAAGCCCTGCACCGCCATCTGCGCAGACACCTCTTGAAAAATCTTTTCATTTCGTTTGGTTCCATCTAGCTCGCGCTGCACTTGTTCATCGGCCAGCAAACAGAGAAATGCCTGAACTTCAGCATTCGACCACGGTTGTGCCATGATTATTTGTTTTACCTTATAAAATATTCCAAAATAAGCTCCTCCGATTTCTTGTTGTCTGTTATGCGGGTGAAAAAGAAAATGGTGGATTGTGATTTCCGGTGGAAGACTGAATCTCCGCCCTCCACCAATGAATACGCCCCCTGACCAATCAGTGACCTACAGTGCGGTGATGTCACAACTAGACCCTAAAAGAACCAGACCTGGGACCTCAGTGATTTAGGTCCCAAAAATGGGGTGGGTTCCACCGTTAAAGGCATTGTTGATAAATCCTGCAATCGGCCACAACTAGTTACATAGGAGTACCAAAAAGACCCGTGGATAAGGGGCTATACAGACCACAACAGGGTTCTATGAAAAAAAAAAGGGGGGGGGGGGGCAGATTTTTAGTCATGCCTTTTTTATCAGCAATTTTACACTAAAGCCCCCAGTATACTCCCGCATACGTCCATACGCGGAGATACGCACGTACATACGTGGAGGTATGAGCGTACCCCCATGTCGTGCAAAGCTCAATTTTTATGACCGCGTACGCGGTGTTGCACAATAAACTGCCCGGCAACGGACTGTTTTGTATGCAACACCAATGTATTAAATTCCCCTTCTTTATCCCTTATCTGGCCTTTTCTTTTGTTTTGTTTTTTGCCAAAAGGCAAGTGATCTCTTCCTCCTCCGTTGATGCCATGACTGAAATGGTGAGAAATTAAAGAATTTGTCACGAGCGAATTATAAACTCAGGTCCAGCGTGGCTGCGGAAGGGTCTGGAGATTTCCTGGTGGGCTTGTCTGATGTGTGGGCTGCAGGACCAGCACTCCCTGTTTTTTTTTTTAAGATTTTTTTATTAACAACATATAAACACACAACACCACTGCACCTGAGGCTGCCAGCTCATTTTTCTTTTTGACCTGTCAATCAATCCAGTAGGCGTGTCAGCAAATGACCAATCAGCAACCTCAATTTGTCCCAAGGGTAAACGCCCCTTGTCTGTGGAGCTGACTGCAGCCGCTCAGGGTGTATGCTCGAGTATGAAGTCTGAATCCTCTGCGTACAGTACACGCATACGTACGCGTGAACGGACATACGTGGGAGTATACTGGGGGCTTAAGTGTGAGAAAAAACTCAGAGCAAAGCCCAACAAACTCTTTACACTTCTGTTGTCCTGCAGTGGCAACACAAAATCACACTGTTGATGGTCTGACGCAAGCCCCCCCACAAACGCGCACACACACACACACACACACACACACACACACACACACACACAC